TATATTTATACTATTAAGAGATATAACTAAAATCCGTTCTATTTGACAATTGGCAAAAAGGAAAGTTATATATATGTATATATAATTTTAAATTCTGACAGCACACTTGCATAGGCAAGTGTATGATCATTTCTAATGGATCAATGGCTAGAACTGTAGAGTTTTGTCTTTCAAATTAGATCTCTTTCGAAATAAGGGCATTAAACACCAAGTAAAAGTGAGAAAGGATAAAAGTTTTGAGCTTGCAAAATAACTCGTATTATTTCTCTTACAATGGCACCATCACATGACTAGTCACTCTCTCACAACATTCATCTACCCAGTCAGCAAAAGAATGCTCCAATATCCTTATAGGCAAAAAAGGGTGTTATCTGATATTAGAGCAAGATAAAGGCAACTGGAAATGAGACATATCAGCAGTTTTTTTAACAACTGTTTTATTCTAAAACTTCATGAAAGGAAACTATACAAAATTTCGAAAATTTCTAAATCACTAAAGATGGTGGGAAAACACATGATGTAATCATATATAATAAGTACACCTTTTTTTTGTAGTGTTTCCTAAAGCAGGGATACTTATGTCATTTAGCTTTAACTTTTGACTTTTACTTAATCAATGTTTTAACTGGGACAAGATGCCATCCCACTTTTTACAGGAAGGCCCTAAAACCATCCTGCTACCTTTTAGTAGACTTGAAACCACTCCAGTACTTTTACAGTTCCCTAGAACAACGTCAAATATCTTACCCTCTCTTTCTTTTCTTTTTTGCACCAATATGAGCATAAGATGTGACACAAAGCAGCAATGAAACAAAGTGCAACACACAACTTTGTTCCAGTCCCACTTTCCATGAACAATTTTATTTGTTAATCCACCAACCTGAATGGTAGTAACGACTGTAAACTTCTCTGAAAGTAAGGGCTCAATAGACAATGCAATGAATATTTACAGCAACAAAAGACTGGGGAGAGCAATTATTTATTTTTCTTAAAATGCGATATAATAATGAGGCAGGAATGGATGGAGCGAATGAGTCCTTTTGCTATGGGCTCAGTTATTGTGACCAAGCTCATAACCACAAAGTAGACATCACAAATTCCATACAGTAAATTTTAATATGGTGTGTATCTTAACAAAATTCGGCAAACTTTCAGTAAACATTAAAAATATTTTGTGTACAAAAAAATAGTTTTTTTCTAATTAAGCAATTGTACAAAAAATTTCACAAACCATCCAACTTCCTTTTTTCCCTTACTTCAAGTACAGTACTTAACAAAAACTTTGGGTATCCAATTTTATTTTTAGTTTAAATATTTAGTTTAATTTATAAAGGAGAGAGGGGGACACACACAGTGGACTGATAGGATAATTCATTAAAGGTTTTGTCAGACAACTTATCAGTTCACACCCTCAACAAAAGCTGACTTGCTCTTGTTTTGTATTTATAATTCTATTGTATTGTGATTATGTTTTTGTGTAAATAAACATTTGTGAACTTGTGAAACAACTGGTATCGAATCTTTATCCTAGACGATCCTGGTTGTAGTCTGGAGCAAGGCCGTAAACTAACTATGATTACACAAAGGTCGAGTAAATTGTTGTTTTTTTGGCTTCATTCTCTCTCTCTCACACACATATATAGATTAAACGTTATAGCTTGAAACATCAGTTTGACCTAGATATACTATGGGCTCTGGTTAAGGTGCTGGAGCGGAGAGGTCATTATATTCTATAGTCCGGTGATTTCCGAACCTCCAGTTAGAGGGCCTAGCTGACTGCTCTGTGGGAAAATCGTTTTAACGGGAACACCACAAAACATTTCGAAAAATTAGTTATTAAAATAAGAAGGTACAAAACGCATGGTATGCCTGAATACCACACCATGAGAATATTTTCCTGGAAATTCCATTTTCTTTCGTGGATCGGATTCGAGCCCCAAACTTCTCAAATACTAAGTGAATGCTCTCACAACGGTGTAACAGGGTTAACCCCGTTATATTTGCTAACATTTGTAGACCCGAAAGCAAATCGCCTCGTAAGTCGTTTTGAAAAAAATAAATAAAAAGCCGATAGATAGGGACCCCGTAGGTATATATAAGAGAGTATATAATAATTCATTCCTCGTGGATCAGCAATAAGTTTACTGACTTACAACATTAAATTTCGGTGATTTTGCCGCGATGGACAGAGCACAAATAACCCAACGTGGCTTTGGAGTAAAACAAACAGTATAATAATTCAGTAAACTAAAGTACATTTTATGCAAAAATATTTCATTTCTGAGCTATGTAACATTAAATTATTAGTAATGGTTTTTGTTATGGTTCTCAGAGTTTCTCTCCTGTTTTTTGCGTGCAAATTGGACTTAATCGCTCTTTAGTAAAGTTTTCTCTTTACATAATTATAATTCCTAATATAGTGTAACGGGATTATATTATCTTTTCAGACGTGATTACTTGCTAACTATTTCTCAGTCGACAATTATTTTTCTTATATATATTATTTTGTAAATAAAATAGCCATTCCCCATCATCACCAGTTTAGTCATGGCTGGTGAAGGGGAGGGAGGTCATACACGTCAGTTAGATATTTCTAATTGTGTCCCAGATCTAACTGAAGAAGAAAGAAAGCATTTAATAACAGTAATGGCTAAAGCAAAGGTTTGTGTTTTAGGATCATATTTAGCGTTTCATATAATTATTGAAACCTAGTAATATGATAATAGTGCAAAACTGTAAAGTAGTAATCTAATTACTGAACTTGTACTCGTAGTAGTACTGTTGAGTGTTGTGCTTTAGTGGTATTACTATAATTGCAAACGCAGCACTGCTTCAACTCCAACTGAGTTCAAGTTCAATGGGAAGCAAGTTGACATTTGATAAATAATACTCATTAATAGTAATACTCATCATGATTTAAGAAATAATTTTTTTCCCCTAGCCAATGTCTTTGTGGTTTATTGTTTGTGACAAAATTTAGATAGCCTATTGGACTGTATTATTTTAAAAGTAGCTGATATTAATAGTGTTATTAGCGATAATACGGTAAATATTAATATAATACTAATACTGTACCTCTCATTCGTAAGAGCTTGTAGATATAATTTGTAAACAAGTTTGAATGCTGAGAAATGTCAAATAATGCACTTACATTTTAGAATATGGAAATTTGAAAAGAGCTTTTTTTTTATGAGTATTAAATGTTTATAAATTAAGGGACATCAAGGGTCTTTTGGTTAATCAAGGACGTCCCGACTCATTCTCAACACCCCATACACACGTAAATAATACAAATCACTGGTGGACCATTCGATGAGCAGTTATGGGCTGCCATAAGCCAGGAAAAATTTTAATCGCCCTAAATAAACAAGTCAAATTCTACATATGTGTCTTTACTATTGTGCCAATTAACTAAGTGGACTGGACCTTCAGGTGAAAAGGTTAACAAAACCTGTTGTAGTATTTTCTGTGGATTTCTTAATCAGGTTGTTGATATCAATAGAAATGTATACATGAAGAGTATTTAGCTGCTAATAGAAGCAATCCTTTAGAAAGATAGATTAAGAAAGTTACTAATCATTGTTCTAATTTTGAATATAAAAGAATATGGTTAGAAATTTAAACTACTATCATAACTTTGATGGAAATCAGCTGAATAGTGTTATAGAAGAAAATGGTCTTGGTGTTTTAGTCAATTAGTTTCTCAAGTCTTCAGCAGTGTATTGTTGCCAGTGATAAAGCAAATACGATTGCATATTGTATCTGCAAAAATACTGAATATATGTCAAAGGAGGTTATCATTTCTTTGTACAGATCCATGAATAGGCCACTTTTATAATATTCTGTTCAGAGTTTGACTTTTAAGAAGGACAGTGAATTGTTAGAAAGGGTTCATTATGATGTTTCCTGGGATGAAGGAGTTGTCATATGAAGACAAGTTAAGGTCCTTAAAATTATTTCCTCTTGAGAAAAGAAGGGTTACAAAAGATCTGATTGAAATGTTCAAAATGTTAAAGAGGTAGGAAAGGATTGATGCAGCATCTTTTTTCATGAGTCGTAGGACGAGGGGACAGAGATTTAAGATTTGGAAGGTTAGAAGGGATCTGCAGTTTTGTGTTTTAAATAGGATGGTAGCCTTTGATATATTTGTCTTCAGATGTAGTGGACACTGCAGGATTGGGAGAGTTCAAGAGAGGACTAGTACTTGGAGAGTCGGGGCTGGACATAGGAAGATGGAACATGAAATGAATGGTACAGCCACAAAGGGACAAGGGATTCCTTGCTGTCCTGCAAATGTTATATGTATCTAAATATCTGTGTTGTGTGTCACTCTCTCTCTCTTTCTTTATATATATATATATATATTGAAATGTTTTTATGCTAATTTATATGATAGTTAATGATAACATTGATCTTAGAATAAAATTCCATTGGAATCCTTATCACAAAGGCAAAAATGTTTTCAAATTACTATATGTTTTATTGACAAAGGATGCAAAGAGAAACTTTTTGTTTGTTTGTATTGAAGGAGGATGTGTATTGGAAATTCTCTTTTGAGCAAGTTATTTAAGATTAACAAGATTTCTTTTTATTAAATCTTTGAGAAGTCACATGCCATTTGTAAGTAAAGAAGGATTTTTTTTTTTCTCTCAAAAGTTGATGCTGAAGCCTGATATTTTTGATTGTTGAAAAATTGTCCCTATTTTTGATAAACAAAGAGAGGGCTAATAAATACCTCATTAAATGCATCTGTTAAAATGTCAAATGTTTACTTAAAAATGCAAAAACTCATTCATTTATTGCTAAAGTTTATCTGAATGTGTATTTTGTGATGACATAGTCACTTTCTGTGACTTGTCCAGTGTGTGTGTGTGTATTATATCGGAATGAGCTTTTCTAAAACTGGCATCCTTAGAAAGGTACAAGGCTTTATTGTTTATTAGACACAATTTGGGAAGCTATTAAGATGTTGTATGTTTTACGTGTTCTTGCCTTAATCATTATTTTCAAACTTACAAATATTGGGTACAGTAACTTGTTGTGCGCTTGTAAATTCCCCAATGTTTTTAAGTTAGACATGTGCATCTCTTGTTAGAAATGTCATTTTTTATTCAAGTTTCAGGCTTTCACAGTAGTTCTTGAAGTGAGATAATTTTGTGATATGTAGAATAAACTTTTGGTAATAAGTTTAAAATAATGATCTGTGGAATCTTTTTCAGGAATTTGAAGCTCAAGAAGAAAATAAAACAAAGTAAGTGAAATAAGGACCAGTAAACTGTATTGAATTCCTATCTTTGTGTAGTAGGTTTACTCGTAATCATATAAATGTATATTTATAATATTTGTGTATGGGAAAGTAGATGTGTTACTTTTCTATATTAAATGTTTACAATAGATCCTGTGAACAATGTATCTTCACTGTTTAATAATGAAATATAAGTAATGCCAGTATTTGGTTATTGCTATCTATTGAATCGGAGGTTTTGGTGGGTTTTTTTTCAATAATTACATTTAAATCATTTCATTTGTTCTTTCTCCAAGAAAGAATTATATAAATTTCTTAACTCCAAATATATCTGTGCACTTCACAGATTTTAAACTAATTTTCCAGTTTTAAGTTGTAGAAACATAGTCTACAGTATCTTATAAGTGATTGATGAAGTTCACTGCCCGAGTACGTAAACAAGTATTGCTTATGCAAATAATAGAGAACCCAAACCAGATTCTTCAGAGACTACACTATATCATTTTTTCAAATTCAAAAAATACCACCACTTTCTTTATACTATAAACCCAATTTTTTACTCTTTAACATTTTCACAAATACCTCTAGAAATTAACTTTTTATTTAACCTTTTCATTAAGCCTTACTTTGGCTTTCTAAAACCCAAATTAAGTTCACATAAATATATAAACTTCCAAGAACAACTTAAGTTTTGAACTAAAAGCCTTAAAAATTGCTTTTTCTATTTAATTTGTTTTTTATAAACCTCATATTGACATTCTCAATTTCACTAGAAAGTTTCACATCTGTGATATTCATTATTTATTATTAAAAAGTTTTCCCTTTCATACATTTATAAAAAGAGTTTTAGTTTAACCAAACTGGTAAGAATTTCCTAAGCTTCATTCACATTTTTCTTATTTGTAATGGATCTGCTGAAGTTAATAATTTTTTGCTTTACATCTGACTGTTATGAAAACTTTACTGCGAGTCATGTTATGTTCATTTGCATCCAAATGTAATACAGCATTTTTCTTATTCGTAATGGATCTGCTGAAGTTAATAACTTTTGCTTTACATATGACTGTTATAAAACTTTATTGTGAGTCAGGTTATGATAACTTACATCCAAATGCTGTAATACAGCATTGTTAACTACACGTTCCTCGGTACTAACTATCATTTAACTTTTTTAATTTCCACACTAGGCTCAATTGTTGAGTAAGTAGATAGCCTATAATCTAAAGAAAGTTTTCAGACTTGTGTGACGAGACAAATTTAACAAGTTAATTTCTTCTAAAGTTAAAATCTTCAAAAATAACCCTGTTTTGTAATTTTTGGTAGGTCAGTAGAGAGCGAGCCAGAGAACTGTAAAGATTGTCAAATAAACATATTTTGTACTTTCCTGTGAGATACTTCAGAACAAACACCTTTCATAGAATCAGACATCTTGATATTACATTTCTTGTAGGTAAAAAAAATTTAAGAAATTGGTAAGCATGTAACTTGGTGTTATTGTGAGAGTTTACAACTGTTAAAAAATAATAAGTGTGAAATATACAATTAAACTCTCCAACTGCGCTGTTAAACTGCTCATAAATACAAAATAAGTGCAGAAATGTAACAGTTTAAATCTTCAAATGTAATTTTAAAACTGCAGAAATACACATCTTTAAATGCACTCTTAAAACTGCATAAGTCTACAAGTGTACAGGTACAGGTGAACTGTTCAAGTGTACAGTACAGGTGAACTGTTCAAGTGTACATGTACAGGTGAACTGTTCAAGTGTACATGTACAGGTGAACTGTTCAAGTGTACATGTACAGGTGAACTGTTCAAGTGTACATGTACAGGTGAACTGTTCAAGTGTACATGTACAGGTGAACTGTTCAAGTGTACGAGTACAGGTGAACTGTTCAAGTGTACGAGTACAGGTGAACTGTTGAAGTGTACGAGTACAGGTGAACTGTTGAAGTGTACGAGTACAGGTGAACTGTTGAAGTGTACGGGTACAGGTGAACTGTTGAAGTGTACGGGTACAGGTGAACTGTTGAAGTGTACGGGTACAGGTGAA